TGTGATTGTTTCTAACATATTTATAAGATGATTTCTTTGTTTCTTTTTATGTCTCTCCCCATGGTATAACCCGGGGGGGTGGGGGGGAGATGAGAAGGGATGGGAAGGGAAATCAAAGGAGGAGACAACAATGTTTGATAAGAAATGTACTCATTACCTTGCCTATGTAATTGTAACCCCTCTGTATGGTATTTTCACAATTAAAAAATGTATATATTTTACCATTTTTTAAAAAAAGGCCAACATCAAGCATGTATAGTTGATGAAATTATAAAACCTTACAGACATTTTCAGTGCCATTGAAGCTGAACTTGTTAGCTCATACACACAATAATGAAACCCAACTAGAAATTGTCTTAAAGATTGGAGAAAGAGCCAGGCACTGATGGCTCTCATTTGTAGTACTATCTACTCAGGAAGTGAAATCTGAGGATTGCTTTTTGAATCCAGCCCAGGCACGAAAGTCCTAGACACTGTTATCTCCAATTAACCACTAAAAAGCCAGAAGTCAATATCCTTGTACACAAAAATTCCAGGACAGACAACAGGCCCAGAGTTCAAGCCCCAGGACAAGCACAAAAGGTCAGGGGGCATAGATAAGTGTAACAGAGAGGGTGGATTTGATCAAAATACATTATATTGGAACTATCACAATGAAATTCCTTTGTATAACTAATAGATGCTAATACTTTAATTTGGTATAATTCTATAATAATTAAATTTGGTAGTTATAGAATTATTCTCAATTATTGATGTAATATTTATAGTTCGATAGGTTTGTCAAGACTATGTTAACATGGGTATTAATATATAATTCAGAGATTTGAGGAAATAAAATGGAAAGGTAAGGTTAATCATGCATGTAACAGGTGAGCACATGTGGCATGTTGTATACATGTGTGCATGTACATATACACATGTCCTGTGTATGCACATGTAGAGGCTTTCTCAAATAAGTGCTTTGTCCATCAATCATGAATGAATTTACATTTCGTGGTTTATATATGATTGAGAATTATTCAATTAGAGCTCAGCTACAAAGTAATTGCATTTGAGTCTCAATGGCTATGATGGTTTCCAGCATCTCCCCGAAGTTAAAAAAAATACAAAATAAATGACATCACAATTATGTGTGATCATGAGCTGATTAGTTATGACTACATCAAGATGTCATATAAAGGAATGAGTAGATGATTTTAGTTCAATATCCCTGGAGTAAGAGCCAGATGTCAGGGATAATTTTAATAGAGAAATCTCCAAGTGTTGTGGGTTCACAGCAAAAAAAGGACCCTTCCTAAGAAGGGTGTTTTCACACATGTCAGAAGATTAAGAGCCTGCTGGGAGGTGAGAAGCACGTTGGCAAGAATTGACTTGAGTTAATATGCCATATGTGATGCAGAACTTTATGTCTTGTGTAATATTAATAAGGTGGACTGTATATTCACATGGAAAATAAGCATATGTATTTAATAATTCTGTGAGTTATATGCTTTATGTAAGTTTATGTACATGCTGGTATGCATGAAAAATAAATTGTAGTATCTGGTTAAACAGTATAAAATATACAAGCATTGCACATTATACATATGTTTTATTTTATGTATATTATGTATTTTACTTAATGGGTTTATGTTGGCCATTAAAGTTTTAGGGAGAGTAGCATTCTACCATTGGAGTCTCACACCCCATCCTTTTGATTATTTTTTGGATAGGGTTACGAAGTCCCTTGGACTTGCCTAAGACCATGATACTCTTACCTACACATCGTATACAGATGGGGGCGGGGGTGTAGGTTAAGAGTATGCACTACTGGGACTGGTAATATGGCTTAGTGGTAGAATGCTTGTCTAGCATGCATGAAGCCCTGGGTTCAATTCCTCAGTACCACATAAACAGAAAAGGCTTGAAGTGGCTCAGTGGCTTAACTGGTAGAGTGCTAGCCTTGAGCACAAAGAGGTTCAGGGACAGTGCCCAGACTCTGAGTTCAAGCCCAGGACTGGAAAAAAAGACTATGCCTAATTTGTGGATATGGGGAGGGAGATTTCACTAACTTTTTGCATGCGCTGGTGATCCTCCTGAACTTCACTTGCTTGCTAGCTGGAAATACAAGATGTCTACCAAAAAGCAATGAGTTTTCATGTTTAATCCCATATAGGCAGGATAGCACTTACCAAATTATTAGTTTAGATGTTGTAGATTTTCTCAAAACCTTCTGGATTGTTTGTGGTATTGTAATCAACTTTAATTTTAATTTTTTTTATTATCTTTAAATAGTTCTACAAAGGAGTTTTGTGTTAATTTATGCATATAATGCATCTTGCTCAGTGTCATACTTTCTATCATTGACCCCTGCCATCTATGCCAACCCCAACCATCTCCTCTTTAATAGACCTTTTTGGGTTTTAATGGTGTTTTGAATTTACTTAATGGGTATTAATGGTGTTTGGATATATTATAGCAATAGCTACTGAGACTATCCTGAGACTTGGAGATCTACTGCAGTAATGTGCAGTGTATAATTGATAGTTCTTTTTTTAAAAAAAGTATATTTTTATTGAAAAGATACTGTACAGAGGGGTTACAGTTACATGAGAAAGGCAATGAGTACATTTCCTATCAAGCATTGTTACCCCCTCCTTTGATTTTCCCCTACCATCCCTTCTCACCCGCCCCCACCTTGCCCGAAAGTTGTAAAGTTCGTTTTCAACATACTGTCTTGTACATCTAATTGTTAAAATGGGTCATCATGTATCCTTATTTCAGCATTTTGTTATCTCCCTTCCCCTCCCCAATTAAGAAAAATGAAGACAGAGTATGTCCCAGTCCATTCTAGTACATGTTATCCAGTTCCTTTATTTCCTTCTGAACATCATTCTCACTTATTTAAATACTGCATCTTGTTTGCTGAACTGCAATGATGCCTTATCCTTTAGTTGAAGACAATAAAAATATAAATGCTGGATGTCTTTTGACACAGCTGCTTTGAAGGAGGTTACTAGCCGGGCGCCAGTGGCGCCGGTGGCTCATGCCTGTAATCCTAGCTACTCAGGAGGCTGAGATCTGAGGATCGTGGTTCACAGCCAGCCCAGGCAGGAAAGTGTGAGACTCTTATGTCTAATAAACCACTGGAAAACTGGAAGTGGTGCTGTGGCTGAAGTGGTAGAGCGCTCGCCTTGAGCTGAAGAGCGCAGAGACAGCGCCCAAGCCCAGAGTTCAAGCCCCACGATCGACAAAAATAACAAATGTAGGTTACTATCTTGTCTTCAGGGATAGAGACTCTGTTCCTCAACAGCATGGGTTTAGGGAGCCATACCCAGGAGAATTTAAGTATTGAAGATTCGCACATTCATTACTATTCCAGGCCTCAGAGTTCTACTTTCCTTATCAGCATTATCAATCTGTACATATAGAAACCTCTAAATACTGTACAGCCCTGTGCACCAAATAGAATCAAAGTCTGATGGTCAGCAGTCTATAACTAGAGGAGATGTTGGTCAGTTTCCATAATTCAATGGTTAGTGTGGATGACAAGTTAGGCTTTCTCTTCAGCAATCAATACACTATCGTTCCTGCTTGGGATAATCTTTAACCTGGCTTAACAACTATTTAGGCTGGAAACGATATGAGTGTACACTGAGTTGGAAGCCAAGTTTATCTTCGTATACATGCCAAGTGATACTCAATGACCTATTCAAGGAATGCATCTATGTCTGTGGCATGCTTTCCTCCCTCATTGTAACATATGCCACAAAATAAATGACATCTCAAGAGGGTTCAGGTAACCATTCTTTATCGCACACCAGACATCCAGAAACTCACAACTAAGAGAAAATCTTGGGCCCTTGTTTTCAAATAAAGTCAGTCTACCAGGTTACTAAATATTTCTCACTGTAATGATGTAGTACATTAGTCCTTTTCGAATGACATTGTCACCTAGGTTACAGGAGTAGCATCTCCTTTCTATGGCACTTACAATCTAGCCTCACAAAGTTATTCTACATACACTTGGATTTCCTGACTCCTAATTCTATAAATCAATAAAGGAACTAATAAAACATATTAAAGCCGGGTACCAGTGGCTCACATCTGTGATCCTACTCTTAAGATCCTACTACTGAGATCTGAGGATCATGGTTTAAAGCAGCAAAGTCTGTGAGACTCTTACCTCCAGTTAACCACCAGAAAGCAGGAAGTGGAGTTGTGGCTTAAGTGTTTTAACCTTGAGCACAAAAGCTCAGGACAGCACCCAGGCCTTGAGTTCAAGCCCCAGGATACACACACACACACACACACACACACACTAAAAGCCCATTGAGAATACCAAATGAGGTACTATACTGGGATAAGAAGGATACAATATTATAGCAGGAATACAGTATGTATCCCTGGGGAATTCAGTGCTCATATGGTTTGGTGAAGGTCTGTCATGTGATACTCTTCAGGGCCACAAGGAAGGTTTATGTATTTCTTGAGGCTGGACACCTGAGGACCATTGGTGGGTCTCAAACAGGATCAAGAGACAGTTTTGTGGGCTCTGCAGCTTATCAAATTCTGAAATATTTCTTTGAAAATAATAATACAAAGTCTATTATGACAGTGAGTTTTTTATTTAAAAGTGACATAACAAGCATTAAAATCATGGCAACTACAACAAGCAAACATCGTAAACAAATTGTGTACATATATATGCATGTACACATTTTAATTTTCACAAACATCATTATGCTGCTGCAGAATCTAGTCTGTAGTGTGTATCAAGGTGAAGGATATGATGTTTTTTTATTGTATAGATGCTGTACAGAGGGGTTACCATTACTTGAGTAAGGTAATGAGTACATTTCTTGTCGAGCATTGTTAACCCCTCCTTTGTTTTTCTCTTACTATCCCTTTCCTTCCCACCGTCCTCATTCCTCCCCACCGAAGTTGTAAAGTTCATTTCCAAAATAGTGTCTTGTCTCATTGTTACAATGGGTCATCCTGTGTCCTTATTTCAGCATTTTATTTCCCTTCCCTTCACCAAATTAGATAAATATAACAAAACAAATATGAAACTGCAGATTTTACACCAACAAGTAGTCATGTATCTACATAGGAGAAGAACCCTAGAGTGATGGTTACTTGTCAATTTCAAAATGCCATTGGCTAAGTAGGACAATTATTCAAGTATGGCTACATATACACAATGAGAAGTTGAAGTTGATAAATTGTTCATTCTTACTTAAAATAAGATTTTTTGTGAGATAAAATTTTAGAAAAGCTAATTCACTTTTAAAATATGTAACAAGCTCATGTTCAGTTTTAGCACTTTTTTCCACATCAAGTGACTTTACTGACCCATTCCCAAATTATCAGATTCTGGTGAATCCACCCTCTTTGAGTTATTTGGAATGATTTACCAGCTGTCACTGATCTTACTAGAGTTAATTGGAATTATTCTAGGAATAACCACATGCCAAAACTAAGTTGAGGCAATGACTACATATGGAGATAAAATTTATAACATAATGTTTGCTTATTCTACAGCTTATATCAAAGGAGATTGTGTTGGTCAGCAGTAAGTCGGGACTATTGAGTGTGCATATAATAACTCTAGCTGCCTTCTATGTTATCAAACCGCTATGTGAAGAGCCACTCACTATTAGTTATGAACATAGGAGACTGTTTTAAGAAACTGCTCAACAACTGAAAGCTAGACACTCTTCAAAATGGAATTTTAAGGAAGTATTGAATGAACAAGTCTTTTCAAGCCTGTCCAGATTATTTTTTCTGCATACAGAAATTGTATTCACACACACACAGACAACATGCAGATAAGCCACTTGTTTTAGAGCTCTAGATTGTTTTCCTGCAAAAGTAACTATTGTTAGGTACAAGATATAGCAAAGCTTATCTATCTTTGGTTCTATGTCTCAGAGATATAATTTTTCAAAAAATAAATAGGCATGGCAGGAAAAATAATTTGGCTATCTTAAGAGAAAACTAAGCCCTTTATAAAACTGGAGCAAAAAATATAATTGCCATTTCTTCTATTCTTCTTTCCTAGTTATCTTGCTTAATATCTATTACCAGTGCAATTTTAATATTCAAATGATTGTGCACAGTGTATCTAACTATACAGCAAAGATATAGAAATGTTACAAAATAAACAGTACTTTACTATAAAGTCATTTAGGAATTATGAATTGAAAAATGTATGTGAAAGTAAAACTGCTGATGTATATTGGCAAAATTGGCTTTGAAGAAGTGCAAAAAAATTTTTTAGCATGGCAAACTGAGAAATCTAGACTATCCTTTCCCTAAACTGAACACATTGGCCAAATCCCCCCATTTCCCATTTTCAGAAAATATTCCCATGTTTGAGAGATGTGATTTTTTAAACTATGATCTATGAAAGCTCCCAGTGATAATTTCAACTCTTGCATTAGTTACTGCGTTCCAGTACTAGGTAATGGCTTCCGTCTCTTTTCAAAGAGAATTTTTGAATCAAACAATTCTCTTTCTCTACAGCCTAGAGCTGGTCCTTTCAGATACTTTGCTTCAGCTGCTTCATAATCTAACCCGTCAACAGCAGAAATGGAGCAAATAATTGCTTCTGGCAGAAGAACTTCTAGGACAAATTTAATCTTGTCATCTTTTATCCGAGTGCGCATTCTTTGGTCTATTTGCTTGTATATTTCTTGTAGGTATTTCACCACCTCATCCAACTGATCTTCATCTTCAAAGTATGTTTCAATACATGGCATGAACCTCTTGGCATGCAAAAATGAATTCAGCCATCTGGACCTTTTTTTGCCTTTTAAGATGGCCAGAAGATGGTCTTCTGTTCCCTTTGCATTCACAATAAAGTCCACAAGGTTCTTATTGGCTCGGTCCCGAGCAGACTTCATTCGGTCAGGAAGAATTTTCTGATAGGCTAATCTCTTGGTTGGGGAAGTCACACTCATTTGTTCCCCACTATCGTCATTGTACAGTTTTGGAAATAAATTTCTGAAGGTGTCTCGCTTGATTTCTTTCCGAACCGGATAACTGATATCAGCAGCAAAATACTCAAGGAAAGAACCTACGAAAGAGCCACACCCTATTCTAACTCTGTAGTCACAAATCAGTGAAATGCACCAATCAATGCTCTCCCTGTACTCCTCCCTGGCTTTATCCACTAGTGCTTGCTTCTCTTTACAGTCATATTTTTTTAATCTTCTGAAAGGCACTCTAATTCCTTTCTTTTCAGAGCTCATGTCTGCCTCAACAAAAATCACACTTGCTTTCCTCTCCTTTCGCCTGATACTTTTCACTACTGCTGGCCAAAATGGGTATTTTTGATATTTAAACCAGACAATGATCCCAGTTTCAAATGCACATGGCTTGTAATCAAGAACTAAGCGTGGAAGTTCTTCTTCTTCGTCAGTGTCCTCTAATGCAAGAGTCCTAACATGCTGCACACTCAGTGAGCTGGTTGAAGCTGAAGCTTCACCCTCAAGTTCAAAATCTAGTCTTTGAAGACTTCCTTCCTCATTCCTCAAAAGTGAATAATCCAGGACAGAGTTAGAGGCACTAAGTGAAACCTGATATTCCCCTGAAGTAGTAGAACAAGATGGCTCAGCCTCCATGTCTGTTTCCACAGGAGGCTGATTCTGGCTGGCATCTGAGCTTGGATTTGGATTTGAGGGACCCTCTTCAGGATCATCAATATTCTCTGCAATGTTAGAGCACTGAGAGGAAACAGCTTGGTCCTCTGGGGAGCTATCTGACTCCTCTTCTTTCAAGGCTTTGGGCACCACAAAGTCATGTGACAAAAATGGAACGAACTTTTCATCTTTAATATCTACATTCTCCTCTTTGATTGTGGACATAATTGCTGTGATATCAATCTTTTTCTTGTCTTCTTTTTCATCATCTGAAAATGAAGCATAAGTTGCATTCCAACAGAAGTTTGGTGATGGCTTTGTTTCCAGTTCATCTTCAATAGCTGTGTTCACCTGTGATTTATCATCAGACAGGAAGTCATCATTTTCTGTAGGTGCTACCAGCGTTGCTGGGCCTTCACTTTCTTCAAGATAATTCACAGAGTCCCCTTCATGCTGCCGAAACTTTTTATGAGGGGGGGACTCAGACAGCTCTTGCAGTACATTCTCAGACAGTGTAGAGGTCTCCTGTTCATTCAAAATACCTTCCTGACTCAAATTTGCTCTTTCATTCAGGATATCCAGTGCCATTTTTAGGGATCTTTCATAAGCTGTTTCCTCCCTAGGGGAAACACTGACTTCTGACTCTATTGTTAGGGAAGAAATGATAATTTCAATTGCAGATTCACTTAGGATCTTTGTTTCTGTGCTATCCACTGTAACTTTTTCATCTAGTGAAAGGATTTGGACTTCTAGTGCAAATGTGCTTTTTCTCTTACCATCTGATGAAATCTCAGATCTGGACAAAACTTTTGCTGGCCATATCTGATCTTTCCAATTGCAGAGGACATACTCGGCATTCATTGTGATTTAGATTTGTATACCAGGTAGCTACTATCAGAAGTTGAGGTGGCTGACTGTCCTTGCCTCTACCAACACAAATACTACCAAAAACACCAGTCTTACAAATGTCTCTTTTGAGGCTGGACCACCAACGGTATATGACTTATGGGGCCTCTTCTTTTCAATTACAATTTCTCTAAGATGTTGAGCACGTTTGAATAGGATAGTTCTAGAAAATAATAAAACAAGGGAAAGGAAAAGTATCAATAAACGAAACCAAATCATTTTGTCAAGGTATAATACTACCAAGTTTTAACACATTAAGAGATAAACTAAAAAACAACACTCAGTAAGAAGTAAGAAAGACCAAATATAGCATAACATAAGAAGATAAAGAAACTGGAAAATTGTTTTATAGTTCTTCAAATTTAAGAACTTACAGTCTTATTAAGGAAGGAGCATATACGTATCAGCAGAGAAGAGAGAGCTCATGGTAACATGTCAGGGAATTGGTTATTAGATAGGTTGATATTTTTCTGTCCTTACTGTTATACCTGTGGAACTCCATACTTAGCAGGTGTCAGAATCATATGGAGGACTTTTCTGATGGACTTCTTTAATTTCTGGGCTCCAACTTGAGAATCTCTGAGATTCAAAAATTGTGTATTTTGAGCAAGGTTAATTATTCTAATGCTATGTTTTCATGAAGATCTCATTGAAAAGTTGAGTGCTAGCTAACCACAGCTTTATAACTTTTAGGCCATATGTGCTTTGCTATTCTTCCAAAAAGCAAGCAGACAAAAAACAATGGGATATGTATATCCTTGACCCATTCAAAAATAAGTGGCCTCATAAAAAGCATAATTGAGAAAGACTGCTATGATCACATATTGGATAGTGTACTTATCGAGAATTTTAGAGCAGAGTCATTGGTTTGAACTTTAGGTAGACATGTGAAAAGCCTCATATTTCTTTATAATTATTTAAAACATTAATTTTCTTAAAACTAGGTATTATGACTTTTAATTACAAACATTTGGCTACAAAATGGGGGTTAAATAATTGCACCCCAAATTCTCAAGTGAATAATTTTAAGTTAGTGTTAAATTTAAAATGTTACTATTCCAAAGCTGTAGCAAAAGAAATTATTCTCTAACATCTCATACTGTTTTAAATGTTTACCTCTTTATGAAATGAGAAAAGTCTTACCCTCTGTCATGTGGATGAGAACTGCCTTGATTTTCACTCTACGTGCTAGTCCAACAGAGCCTTCACCCTGAGGGGCACTTCAGTGGCTGCACTGCCTCACAGGGATTCACCTGACACCACACACAGATTGCCCAAGTCACGTGCACCTGAGATATTACCTAAGCAGTCTAAAACAAAGACATGGGATCAATAACATGGAAGAAGTAAGAACAAAATTTCCATACCAATATTCTACCAGGAATGTCATTCTAAAACAGGGGTGAGATGAAATCCCATGCTTATTTTCCCTCATCTTCTAATACTGTGAAATGCTCTTTGGGACACTATTATATTTTTGAGATCATGATGAAGTCATCTCTGAGAATAGTGGGCAATTGGAGAGAAGGAAGTAACAATTACCTTGTATTTAGTATGAGTCATTTGATAAATTTTCTATTTGAATCCTCACCTCAGTCATCAATGTGGATGTCTTTATTCCTTACATTTCCAATTTTTTTTAATGGGCTCACAATTATAGTATATGCAGTCTCATAATCTATTAATACAAAATTATTTCACTGCTTTATTGATCTACATCATTAAAAAATAATTGCCCAGGGGCTTGGAAAGTGGCTCGGTGGTAGAATGCTTGTCTCGCATGCATGAGGCCCTGGGTTTGATTCTTCAGCACCACAGAAACAGAAAAAGCTGGAAGTGGCACTGTGGCTCAAGTAGTAGAACCCTAGCTTTGAACTGAAGAGCTGAGTGACTGTGCCCAGGCCCATAGTTCAGGCCCCACAACCACCACCCCCACCACCACCACCTCCCCTTCCCCCCCCCCCACCCCCCCCCCCACACACAAAAAAAGATTGCCCAGAGATTTTGGCTATCTGGCAGGTGCCATCTTGTGGCTACATCTGGAGCTACAGCCTGCTCATTATGAATACACAGGACCTTAATCACTAAAAGATCTTATGGGAGAAGTATAGAAACTACATTAGCCACCCAGAGTCCTTTCAGGCTTTTACAATTCCTTATTTTAGATTTAAAGGATTTTATGGTATGAGATTATAACATGATCATATCATCAGCCAAAATGTGATTAGGAAAACATAAGAAGCTTATTAAAATTGAAAAGCTACCAAAAATATACAAAAGGAAGCACAACTAAAAAGGAAAGAATGAATTTAATCAAGTCCTCATCTCCGAGAGAGGAAATGTATAGAACAGAATGAAAAGAGAGAGAGAAAGAAACAAGAAAAAAATGAAAAAACAAAAATTTTAATTTAAGAGGCTGGGAAGGTGGCTCAGTGGTAGAGTGCTTGCCTTGCAAGCCTGAGGCCCTGGGTTCGATTCCTCAGCACCACATAAGAAAAAAGAAAAAAGCCGGAAGTGGCGCTGTGGCTCAAGTGGTAGAGCGCTAGCCTTGAGCTGAAGAGCTGAGGGACAGCGCCCAGGCCCAGAGTTCAGGCCCCACAACCGGACCCCAAAAAAAAAAATTTTAATTTAAAAATGAAGCCCTTGAAAATTATTTAAGTATAAAGAAATAATACTGATAGAAGAAAAGGATAGGATGAAAGGAGGAGAGAAATAAATAGGAAAAAGAAAAAAAAGGAAGCACAACTATATATAACCACTATACATATTTTCTACATATTTTCTAGAAATGTAAATGATATATATATGTATAGGTATATATAATATATATCGCTATATCTTTCTAATCTCTATCTATCTATCTATCTATCTATCTATCTATCTATCTATCTATCTTTGAATGATTGTTCTTCAGTGAACCATTCAAGGAAATGGCTTAAACACAGTCCTAAATGTTTTCTACATGGCTTTTTGTTCATGATTTTAGTTTTTTCCAGTACTTTGGCTTGAATTCAAGGCTTGTGATCTCCCTTGGCTTTCTCACTCAAGGCTGGTAATCTATCACTTGAGCCATTGCTCCACTTCTGGCTTTTTGGTGATCAATTAAAGAGTCTTACAGACTTTCCTGCCTTGGGCCACCTTTGAACTGTGATAACCAGTTCTCAGCATCCAGAACAGCTTGAATTGCAGGCATAAGATACCAGCACTCAGCCTCATATGATTTCATAAGTTATTTTAACTGAGATATCCCACAGCTTCTCAACACTTACCTGAAAATTCTGTGAAGATATCAAAGAACAAATAAAGTGATGCTTTGTGTGTGTGTGTGTGTGTGTGTGTGTGTGTGTGTGTGTGTGTGTGTGTGTGTGTGTGTGTGTGCGCCAGTCCTAGGGCTTTGAAATCAGGGCCTGAGAGCTGTCCCTGAGCTTCTCTGCTCAAAGCTTTCACTTTATCACTTTGAGTCACAGCTCTACTTCTGGCTTTTAGGTGGTTAATTGGAGACAGAATGTCAAGTATGGGCTGATTTTGAACTGAGATTCTCAGATCCCAGTCTTACAGCCTCCTTAGTACCAAGAATTATAGGTATAGGACATCAGCCCATGCTAAAGTGATATTTTTTTAAAAATGAGAATAATAAAGTCAACCTTGTCTCCCCAACCATACAAATGATTCCATTTGTAGTTTGGTAAATATGTTTTTCAGATTTGACTAGATACATTATTAATCAAATATACATTAATATTATGTATTTACCTATATTAAACTAGCATAAATATATATTCTGAAAGAAGAGAATGTAATATGTGCTATTCTATTTATCTTATGCTATTTCTCAGACTTCAGATCACTGTATGAAAAGGTTCATGTTTCTATCACTAAATATACAATATTCCATAGTATGGATATACCATATAATATTTTTTCAGTTGCTTACAGAATAAAAAACAAACTAAATACTCCATCTCACTCATAAACTTATGTGATACAAATAATTGGCTCCTTCTGATGACTGAAATGACACACTGTACAGAGGACACACAGGGTTATAGTCAAAACAGATAACCAGGCTACCCATTTGCTTGGGTTGAGGAAATTTTCCACTGCTAATAAAAGGCAAGAGACAAGAGACACAGGAGCATGAATGTGTATATGTGTGTATGTGTGTGTATGTGTGTGTATACATGTATGCTTGTAAGTGTATATGTGTTGGAAACCAAAATGTGTATGTTTTTTCAGCTGCATTTTCTTCTGACTGTAAGGATGATCATGAGGGATTCTACTCTGAAAGATGTTGCAACAGATTAGAATAATATTAAAATGGCAATCTGATTAGCCAGAAATGCTGGATGCTGACAGAGGGGTTAATTTCTTTTAGATTTTTTTCTAATCACACATATAGGTACATGTACACTGTGCAGTTTCTTCAGTCAACTATCTTTGATCTCTTCTCCATGTGACACACACTCGATCCACATATCAATTTATAGAAGTAATTCCTCATGCTGTCAATTACTTGTATCAGTTCATAATTTTGTGCAAATCAATAATGTTTAAAACTTTAAAAAAAAGAACACAATGCCTGGCAATATAAACATGGAATTCCAAGGCAATAAATTATCATGAACAGCCATGCTGCAGTGAAGCCTTAATTTAGAGCCCGTAATCTGATCACCCCCTTTCCCACTGTAGACTTATAAAGCCTTGGGAGGTAGAAAAATTCCAGAGGATTAATTCCTTCAAAATGGAAACGATTCTCACAAAACCACACATCGTTCCTTCCTGCCACTCCAAAACCTGTTTTTGTCTCTTTACTCCAGGGCCCTGAAAAGTCACTAGAAAATAAATTTCAGACAGACATTACCTTGAAGCTTCTTGTCAGCTGCAGCTTGGTGAAATGCAGCTCCTCTTCCAAGACTGGGCAGGCAGAGCTGCCTGCCAAGCTGTTCAGAGAAGGCTCCGCCCCCCAGCTGTGATGAGGAGCAGGATGCCCCGCCCTGAATTAGAGGAGAGAGAATTTGCTAAAGAAACCGCAGTAAGGTTGTAGTGTGGAAATGCTCCTTTTAAAAAAGACCTTTCCAGTGTAGTGGCAATAAGGGTGTGTTTAATTCCCCTCTAAATCCTTAGGGTAGGAAATTTCTTCAAGAAAACAGGTAGCAGATTACTTTATCTATAATAAAACCCAGTTAAAATACCTCAAACATTTCTTCCTTGCCTTTTCTGTTTCTTCAGGAAAGTTTTAGAGGTTTCTTCTTATATATGTCTATTTCTGACGAGAAGCAGAAAATTACTGGTTCACTGGGGAAGTCCCCATCTCATATATTCTTATCAAGAACAGGAAATTCCTTTTTCATACATTTTGCTGTTTTTTACTTGGGCAATTAATGTGGAGAGAATTATTTTTTAATTTATATGTTCCTCTTTATTTCTATGCATATTGTTTATTAGAATTTTCTTATTTTAAGCTTAATTTTCATCTTCTGATTTAAGTTAAAATGCCAATCTAAAACATTATCATTGATAATTTGGAGAATGAAGTATTTTACTGGCCTTAGTGTCACATAATATATAGTATTAGTCATATACAAATAACTGCATTTGTAAATTCACATTTATATATGCATTAAAGTTAGAATGAAAAATTACACAAAATGAATGAATAGCATCTCTCAGCTGATATGTTGTTGGGAGTGGGGCTTAAGTAACGACATAATGTAATGTTCATGCTATAAACAACCCTTAAATCTCAAAGTTTCAAACCTCAAATGCCCAAACTGTCAAATGCCAATCAAGTGGCCAAGAGAAGGAAAGTCCTAGCAGTGATTAAGCAACTCAACCTATGTATCAAACAAATTCTTGGGCCTTGAAGTTGTATAGTGCATTGGCTACATCTGGCTGTCTAAAGAAGAGGGAGGATTGAAATTCATGTGGATGGTTTTAAGAGCCAGTTCTGGTAGACATCACTACTGGCCATAGTCTAATAGCCACAACTCTGGACAGGTATTGAAGCCCAACCCAACTGCCATAGAGGGAAGGAATGTAGTCTCTTTGTGATCCTAGGGTGAAAATGAAGAGTTTGGTGAACATGTAGTACACTCACCAACACAGGAAGTTTTCCTTTTCAGTTTGTATAGACTTGGGTATAAAGCTTTTTAAATAAATGTGTATCATATTTATGATGAACCTGAGAGAAACTTCAAGTTTTTCACTCAAAGCCTACTTCAGTTGTAGTTAGGGTGGCAGTGGGAGCTCCTGAAATGTTCCTTTTCTCATATTCCCTCTCTGCAATCCATAGTTATGTGATGGAATTTCTTCCCAAAAATGAAAATACAAACTGCTGCGAAGATACTAGAGAAAGTACCTCTCAAGGGTGGATAAACAGCTAGAGTTGTCTTTTTTCATTTTCCTTATTTACATCCTAAAAATTCACCACAACACATAGAATTTATTTAGATAGCCACCCTGAACTAAGAAGTGACTAGGGATGGATGGACATGAATCCCTCAACTTATTGGAACAATGGACTTCTCTTTTACTGAAGTCACTGTGTTTTGCTGTCTCTCTACCTAGTTATAGCAGAAAGTAGTTGATCTTACAGCGTGCAATAGAAATAAATCATTCTTCTTGTAGAATTAATCCTTTCAAGGCTTTAAAAGTATTTAATTTCAACTGAAGTAAATCATTTCAAAGCATTAACATGTTACTATAGAATCTAAAAAGGATTATTAGATCTATGTATATATGGTTTCACTTAAATGAACAGATTTATTTGATAATGAGCTTTACAATATTCATTTAGTCCTCTCATTTTACAAATTTAAAAACACAAAGGCACACAAATTACTGTATTTAAAAAGTATATTTTTTCTTTCTCTTTTGTTGATTTTCTATGTAGCATGTAAGTCAGGAAATACTATACCCCTTCATTATTTTCCAAACAAAATGCAAAGTAAGAGGTCAACTCCATGGAGGACACCACTGTCTCACACCTATAATCCTGACTAGTCAGGAGGCTAAGATCTGAGGATCTTGATTTGAAGACAGCTAAGGTAAGAAAGTCTATGAGATTTTATTTCCAAATAGCCAGCAAAAAGCTAGAAGTTCAGCTGTGGCTCAAGTGTTAGAGTGCTAGAGCCTTGAGAAAGAAAACTCAAAAAGTGCCAAGGCCCTGAGTTCAAGCCGCATGCACACACACACAGACACACAGACACAGACACACACACACACACAGCCACACACACAGATCAAATCCACAGGAGATAGGGAGTGATAGCCAAATAATAAATGCTAATATTAGAGTACTAATATTAAAGTGAACATATGTGGTAATACAGAAACAGTGTCTAATACCTTCATGTAGACATTATTCTTAGTAATGATATTTTATCTCATTTAATAACTCCATGGTTATTACATGCACAAAAGTCATATAACTGCTCATTCAGTATGAAAACAGTAATAATAATAATAATAATAACAATAATGTTACAAGCCAAAGTGTTTTCTCACTGTGTACCAGGTACTCTGTTATCCCCGATTCTTACAAAATATTGCTTAATAGGTGCTATGGATTGAATGTGATCGTCAAAATTCCTGTGTTAAGTCCCAATGTAAAAATGTTGAGTGGTAGGACCTTTAAGAGTTGATTAGATCCCGTGGGCTTGTTCCTCATGAAAACATTAATGTCATTACAGCAGGACTGAGATAGTTACCATGGGAGTGGGTTCCTGATAAGAGGATGCATTTGTCCCCCTTTGTCTGTTCTGTCTCTCCATGCAATATGTGCTACTAATTCAGCAATTAGGCCCTCACCAGATGCAGATCCTCAATCTTGGAATTCCCAGACTCTAGAACTGTGATCTAAATGAGTATCTACTGTTTATATACTTCTCAGTCTCAAGTATTCCATTGTAACAGCACAAAATGACAGTGGATATTAAGAGTATTCTCATCTTGGACGTGAGATGAGATATTAATGCACTTTAAAAAGGATATCCTGAGAGTATTTGGCACATGGTATTTGGATCTAGGTCTTCTTTACCCCAGAGTCAATATTGTTAATCACTAAGACACACTGCCCTTCTTTCACTGCAAACTGAAAATACTCTGCAAATGTGTATGGGATGAATGGATGAGTAACTGAAAGAATCTAAAATTGGTATTACTGAGAGTCATTGGAATTTAAACAGAACATGACATAATATATCCAATGTTGCACCTAATCTGCCTTCCTTCATTCCTTTGTTGTTGTCAGAGTTTAACATGATACAGTGTAATTATGGCAGTGAGTAATATCCCATCCCCTTTGACAATTACACTGATTGCAAATAAGGCACAAGTTCTTCCCACCTACAAGGACAGCCATCTCGACTGTGTCTGTTACCTTAACTAGGAGTAAACAATACTGACAAGATCAGACTTATCAGATATACATGTGGGAGAAGGTTTTCTGGGTGACGGAATTCTACTGTTTTCTGACTGTGGTGGTAGTTGCATGAGTATAGACATATATACAAAAATGTTAAGTAGAGTGTATGACACTTTACATGTGATTTTAACATATGATAATTCAAGATTAAATGTTTGAATATAATGTAATAACCATTACCTAAAAAACAAATCTTTTAAAGTATGCTTTTGAATCCATTATTTTCTTCCTATAGCATATTTAATAAAAACCACAAAATGACCCTCATACATATATAATATTTAGAATACAAAAAGGCCTAAGAGAATGTCAGCCATAACAATAGCAAATCTCTGGGTAACCTACAAATTCTAATTTCCTTCAGTCTACCAGAGAACTAAGTAAAATATCAAAGGATAAGAAGTTTCTTTCCAGAAAGACAGGACCTTCTTATCATTTCACTTTCCAAAGCAGAGACAATAGTTGCTATCATAGGAACAAGTAAAAATAAATCATGTAAGCTTGGTGCGGATGGCTCATGCCTGATATCTGTGAATCCTAGTACAAAAGCTGGAAGTGGAAATGTGGTTCAAGTGGTAGAGCATCATCTTTGAGAGAAAAAGCTGAGGGACACAACCAAGTCCTGAGTTCAAGCCCCAGTACCAGTACCAAACAAATCTGAGATGTTGTAAAATCTTAAATGGTAAAGAGCAGGGTCTAGTTTTTCAGTTATTATCTGAGGCCTGTGACACTCATACACTTACTGCTAAGTTCTTTTCCATGGTCCTTAACTGGAAGGTCACAAAAATAAGTAGGGACAAAACAAGAGGCCTAAAGAGCTCATATCACTGGTTCAAGTATGTGAAACCAGCTGTACCCTTAAATCTAAACTTTATTTTTTTATCATGGAGAACCAAGGGATTAAGCCACTAGGGTGCAGCAGTAAATCTCTTGGACCCAGGCAAAAATCTAGTGTTTCTGGGGGAGGAACAGAAGTAAAATGCATTTGTCTGAGGAGGGAGAGACAGGAAACACTCAAAACAGCCATTGCTGTTGAAGGAGAATTAGAAGGGAAAAAAATCTCCACTATGGAGGGAGGGGATCTTATAGAAATAAAAAAGTAGGGGGCAGCTATTTCTGAGGAAGGGGCATGAAAATACTTCCCATTAAAGACCAATCGCAGATTTAAATGAGAAGTTAACTCCCAAAAGGAGAGGAAAGGATGCTGAAAAATCCTCAACTCTCATGGTCTGAGTGCACAGGGCCTCCCTAAGGTTATGACTACACAGGATGACAGACAATACTTCTGGTCTAACGCCTCATACTAACGGCAGCCTATTGTTACAAAACAGGTCACAGCTTAAAGACAGACCCTCCTCTGTAAAGGACTACTGAAAACTTAGGGTGGAGAATCATGCAGAAATGTCCTCTAGCATTCCAAGTGTCACTCAAAAAAGCAAAGGTATGCAAGCCATATGGTAATGAAGTGAGCAAAACAATTTCCAACATAAAACACCGTTAACCTGATGCCAAAATCAAGCATACACATACTCCACATAGTAAGAACAGAAAACAACATACC